CAACCTGAAGACGACATGTGCGCCTCGGTCCGCCGATTTTCCTGTTTGCGTAGGGCACAAAGCTGTTTATTGGAAAGTTACATATTATGTTACACCGAAGTATTTCCACATCAACCATGTCAAACCCTTCAAAACCTTTATTATCATCGTAGGTGATGATGGAGAATAAATGTTTACCATCATATTCATCGCTTCAATCTACACGTCCGCCATTTTTATGATGTTTTTTTCCGATTTGAAATTCTCTCTCACACCTTTGGTTATTACTAGCGTACACTACCGTGAATATCAAAAGTAATGACAAAACAACCAATCAGAAGCCTTCTACTATACATGTTCGGGTTTGGTATAGCAACAATCCGACTTCACACTTCCTTGCTACCGATCAAAACCTACAGACCGAGAAACGACATATGCCGTGCGTAGCACTGACGGCCCGACTTTTCAAAACGACATATGCCGTGCGTAGCAGCCTAAGGGTTAATTTAAATGAAAACATTGCTGCAATTGAGACTTCAGTTGAACCAACTTTCTCCCAAAATCTTAACTTTTTTTCTAGATTTGTAACAAGTCAAGGATACAATCTGCTTGACAATCTCCGATGGACTGTGAAGATCAATCAGACGTTTGTGGATACGCATCTGGAAGCGATCCCAGGTCTTGGAACCTTCACCACAAGGGGTCTTTCTGGTGGTGATTCGCAAGATCTTGGTGGGCATACGGACTGGCCCCTTGACCTTGAGCTGTTTGTCCTTGGCTCCCTTAATAAGGTCAGCACAAACTGGAACACAATAGATTAATCACCAATATAATATTGGTCAGGTTTGTGCTGGAACATGTTTATTATTCAGCAAGCTCAGCTATGATGAAATAAGCAAGGTATCTGTATACATTTCACAATCTGTATAGTTTATGCATGAATTGTATAGGAACAAAAATTTCTATATGCATACAGCTATATCTCTTGCTTGTTTTTTTTTTTAAAACAATGTGTCACATGATAAGTAGATTTCTAAGATGTTAACAATCAGAAGCAAACAAAATTTTCCAAGTTATCAATATTAATATATTTGGATGAAAATACTTGTAGCTGATTACGTCAGAAACCCAACACTAGAATATAAATCCTCTTTTGATGCAATTTTGTTCCTTTTCTCTAATCGATGACATGTTCTTGTTAGTGCTCTTGTTTGGCAATATGTGAAAAAACGGTTCTGCATTTTGTGCCAGCTGCAGTAATTGGGTGCAAGCTGTAGGGTTGTAACATAGCATTTTTTCATGACACAATATGAATCTCAAATAATAGGGCCACCATACGATAAGCATCACAATATATGTACATTCTAGTGATGGGCAATTGGTTTTAAATCATAATCGAAAACCGGTTTGTAATCGGGAAGTAGTTGACCGATCGATGATCGATTGCAGTCTGTTTATAATTTTTTGGGACTGAATACCCAAAGAAGGCGAAAACACTACTGTTACATCAATAGACAGAGTTATAATGAATGGATATCAAGCAACTGTTATGCATTTTCATGATCATCAGTCATATAGTATAAATCATAATGATATGTAACTTTCAAGGCATATTTTACATAGAAGACATTTAAATACTTTGACTTCAATGATAAACTGATTATATCAATTATTTATTTTGCAATCGATAATCGGAATTAAAAAGGGCAAACTGATCAATTTTTCAATTATAATCAAAAATAATTACAATAGACATACATTGTTGAAAACCAATGTCATTTACAGCAACAAATTTCTGAATTGACCTGGTACATTATCAGTCACATCACTGCCATTACTATAGGGGACGTTGCGACAAAATACTAAAACACAAATGCTTCTAAGATAGCAGCATATTTTTTTTCCTCGCCACAAAGGTTGTTAACTCGTCCATATAAAAGAATTTAAGGTGCAATGTATTACAATACCAAGTTAACATATATATTTAATATCGTATTGCTGGTCTGGATAAGATATGCATCAGTATTCTTAATATATCATTACAGTACAAGCAAGCTGATCACCTTTTTCCAAGCTCTTCACATTTCTGCTGGTCAGTGTAATTCTGATCCTGTGGATTGGGGCTTCGTCAGCAGGTGCTTTAGAATCTTTAAGAGACTGGAAGTAAAAATAGCATTTCATAAATGTTGGAAGTATGCATCAAAGGGTTAAAAAGATAACTATTTTCAGTTAATAAACCAAGTTTCTGTGCATGTGAATTTCATACATCATTTGAACTATTTTCTTTTGCTTTCGCTATGAAAAGTTGTTGATTCAAAGTTCAGATTAAACTTTGAAAAAGCCACGAGTCACAGTGAACTGTATTTTGTAAATTAACATTTTCCCCACAGGTCCCATCATGGGATCACATAGTTGTGCAATGTGTGGTGTGCACGCACCATGTGGGAACAATTAAAAACATGGCATTAGAGTTGCTCAGTGCTGCAACGAAAATATTTACCACTGAGTGAAAACCATATACAGTAGAACGGACTATGGGAGGTAACTCGCGTCATATATATTTAATTTTGTAAGTTTGACAGCATTATCGTATCATATAGCATCTATTATGGAATGGAATAGCTAGTGTAAAGTAATACAGATGTGATGTTTTTTTTTACTATTTTGTATTCTATAAATCATATCATCAGTATGAGAGATAGACTAATTTAGGATACGATTATTTGGTGCGTAAACTAGAGGTGCACACTTTTGATGCATGTAGCTGGCCATGATCACCATCTTTGAAATAAAATGGTACTTTTTCATGGAGTTTTGTATCTAATAACAAGTTGGTACCTTGCAGAAATTGGTTTTTGGAACAAATCCAAAAATCATAGAGCATTTAGTCTGGACTGGGCGAGTTATATAATGCAATGAATTCCAAAACAAAGTTATATTCGTTGAACAAAATCTAATGGATAATACAATGAAGTAAATTTGTACACGAAATGTTATCTATTTTTTGTCAAAATGACTAGCCGTATCACATTGTTCTCCATTGACTATTGACTGGTGACATTTACTAGTTTATAGTCCTTGGGAACATTCAATGCAAATGTAACAGCTGGTGAGCCCCCCTCCCACTGTGTTCTATATATAACACACTACAAGCAATAGAGGAGATAGTTAGTCCTTTTACAAAAGTTATGCAATGGAATTATTGATGCCCTTTTTTAACCAACGCTTAGTGGAAAACAATCAGAATTGATGGCACACAAGAATCTGGAACAAAAGTTTGAGCACAATTGTATTATTTAAGATAAGTTCATTTCTGATACTCGACACCAGACTCCCAATAAAATGTATATATATTGAATTACAAAGTTATAATGTTCATATGTTACCACATATTATAATTGATGGATTTCATATTTATTATTATACTGAAGTTCCTGTAAAGCCCATCTTCGCTAGCCAAGTGTTTGCTTCGTATACACTCCACTTACCCTTGGTGGATATAGCCGTGTTTACCGAACCTTTGGCTATATCCGCCAAGGGTATAAGTGGAGTGTATACGAAGCAAACACTTGGCTAGCGAAGATGGTATAGCCCAATGATTATCTAGTCTATTCCCAAGAGTGTTTTATGTTTGATGCCGTTACTACACTCCCAGGTGGATTGTTCCGTATATATGAACTACTCGAAGCCAGAAAAAGTTTTGTCCAAGGCTGGTCCTTGCCGATTAATAATTGGATTATGTTGAAACAATTGTTCTCTTTTCTAGTTCCTATCAATGTTTTTAAAAAAAAATGTGTTTTCATTTCACTTATTCCTCATTTCAGTAATAAAATTGTTAATGTAAACAGTAACCATTACCGAAGTGCAAGGTTATTGTTACTCATATATACAGGGTTGAGCAAATGTTTTTTCCATATGTTTCAACGGTCCACACACTGGAGTTTCTTACCCATGCCTAATACACATATGCTATACTCACTGATATGGGTCACGGCACATATAAACATACTCATATCAGTAGTGTATAGCAAATGTATATTTCAGGCATTTCACACGGGTTCGTTCCAATCACAGGGGCACGCAACTACTATTCATATCGTTTTAGGCTTTCAGTCGGTGGGTACGTTATATCCCATATTGGGATATAACGTACCCACTACCCAGCGACTGAAAGCCTATAACAAGATCATCGCTGAAAGCCTAAAACAATATCAATATTAATAGTAGTTGCATGCCCATTATCCAATTGGGCTATGCGTGGTCCACGAGAAAAAGTTTAAACAAAATTCCAAGGCAATAGTTAATTTAAAATTGAACATATATTAATTTAGTCAGGAATTAATTAATATTCGTGCAAATGGGGTCATGGCAAATAGCTACCGGTACAGAAAATAATAAGCTATTTGTTCCTGACCACCAATGCCTCAATCCACAGGGGTTCGTTACAAATGTCTGAAATACACATATGCAATGGGTCACAGCACACATAAACATTTGCTGTGACCCATGTCAGTACAGCATATATGTATTCAGACATTTGTAACGAACCCCTGTGTTCAATTTAACCACGTGGTTTATATTTTATCTAATCATCTACGGTTTTAACAAATCTTTTAGCATATTATCTAACGCTTAAATGAACACTTAGTTTAAAGGCTTTTAAGATGTTATTAAAATATATACCATTTTGCCGACGTAATCAGAGAATTTAAGATTTTACAGCTCTGAACAGCGGTGAGCAAATGTCTTGTTTCACGTTTCGGTGAGAAAGAGACCGGATATCTTTTGGAGCATATGTTGTAACATTTTGGAAGGGATACCAGGAATATTTTCTTTTTAAAATTTTCCTTTGAAATTACTTTCTTTATTAGCTGTGTTTAAATATTTTTCATTAACTTTAATTTATTTAAAAAATAATAACTTTGATAACGAAACCAACTAGAAAGACATAAATATCAATCTTATATTTGTATTGCACCCCTTTGAGATAGACTATTCCTAAACAATGATTTCCGGTGTGTTCAGCACCGAAACATAAGCTTTTACGAGTTTCTTAAATATGCCTAAGACATAAATTCAATTCCGATAATTTGTCTTATATATTTTAAAAACATAGACTATTATAAATATTGCTCTAGAAGCATTTGATATATTTCGATCTCGCCGGCAGAACTTCCACGTTTGTATCAAGATGGCGGCTACGGTAAGACCTCATCGAAGCAGTATATGACCGAGTTTTTCGCATTGCCATGTCAATTTTCACTTTTTCATCTATAAACAGAAAGATTTGGATTGTAAAATAATTTACTTAGTTTCAAAATTATGCATTGGGAATATTTATGTATAATTTAGCTTTTCACAGGTTTATAAGAATTGAGATTTTCTGCCACAGAGTGACAGACATGTCTGATGCATGTCACTGTCAGAGTTGATATCGTTAGTGATGCATAGCGCCGGGCTGTGTTGTCGGGTAACCGTTTGGTTTGTACATATATTTTTAGGGATTAAATGTACAAGTCACTGCATATTGCGTTGATCGTTTTAAGAAATGTATGACAGATAGAAAACATTTGTGACACGCCAGAGTGTTTTTTTGGGCTTCAGTATTTGGAAGGATTGGTGATGGGCATGCCTTGATTGCCTGGTTGCTGGTATAAGTCTAGTGTGTTTACTAATTAGCTACCCAATTGTTCACAATTGTGAACATCATACATAGGCTATATTGTCTCTGCGTCTGTCGGCAAGGGATCGCCATTTAAGATGGTTCAGCATATCAGAGACATGTTCTATGACTATGGACGGTTTTGTTTAGTACGTTACGAGCAAACCTGCTTTATATCATTTCAATCTTATTGATGTTATCCTGGGTGTATGGGTCCCAAACAGGACAGACATACTCTAGGGATGGACAGACTAATGATTTGTATGCCTGTGCCTTAACTGATGTTGAACCTATTTTTATATGACTGTCAAATTTGACGGTAGTATTATGGTATGGCGTTGTCAGTCCGTCCGGCGTTAACTTTGTTTGTCCGGCAATCTCCCCCTAATTTTTTTGACTGATCTATTTGAAACTTGATATACATTATAATCATGATATGAAGTTGTGTCTCCCGTAAAAGAATTTTGATTAGACAATTTTTCCAAAAGTTATTGCCCTTTGCTCATTTCAGTATTTGAATTTTGTCCGGAGATATCCTCCTACATTTTTCGACCGATCTCTTTGAAACTTGGTATACATAATAATCATGATATGAAGTTGTGTCTCTCTTAAAAGAATTTTAATTCGACATTTTTTCCGAATGTTATTGCCCTTTGTTTATTTCAGTATTTGATTTTTGTCCGGAATTCTCCTCCTACATTTTTCAACGGATCTCTTTGAAACTTGATATACTTTATAATCATGATATGAAGTTGTGTCTCCCTTAAAAGAATTTTGATTCAACGATTTTTAAAAAAAAATATTGCCTTTTGTTCATTTCAGTATTTGATTTTTTGTCTGAAGATTTTCTCCTACATTATTTATAGCATATCAGCTAACCAGTCTTAGAATGATGCAGATCTTATTTCAATGTAAGAAAGTATATAACACTATATGGCATTCGATGGGCGTATTTTGTTCAGCCCCGCTGTACTCTTGTTAAGTTTCGACAGAGGAAGCCAAGTGTGAAATTTGCTTTGTTGGTTATTTATGTGGGAGTCCCATTTTAAGTTAGATTGGATTGTAACACCCAGGTATTTTGCTTGGTCTACGTGTTCTAGCGTATGCCCATGGAGGATGTAATTATGGATAATGGTGTTTTTCCCTTTGTTCATAGACAACACATTACACTTGCTCGGGTGGAAGGCCATCTTCCATGTCTTTTCCCAGAGCGCCAGTTTGTCTTGCTGTAGAGATTTAGCATCACTGTTAGACTTGACAACTAGATAAGCGATAGTGTCGTCTGCGAACAAGCAGATGGTAGCGTTTAGGCCCACATAGTTTCGTTCAACCAGACTCTTGTTGCTTGCGCAGGCTACGCCGAACAGAGAGTCTGGTCAAGCCCAGTGCTTTCGTTTTGTGACATCAAAGTCTTATGGATGAAAGTAAAAACACTTTCCTCTGGTGATGGTAATTTTCAAGTCCTGTGTTTGACCAGACTCTTGAAATACAAGTGATCAAGCGTCTGGTTGAACGAGACTAAGGCCCACAGGGATGTCGTTAATGAAATAAAGAAATAAACTTGGTCCGAGGACGGAACCTTGGGGCACACCAGACGTTGACGAAGTCAGACATTTCCCCCTCCACAACTGCAGATTGCTTTCTGCCAAGAAGGAAATTCTCAATCCAGTTTACTACCTTTCCTTTTACACCATAGTACTTTAGTTTGTGGATGATTAGGGAATGGCTGACTTTGTCGAAAGCCTTGGCGAAGTCCATGATGAGAATATCAGTTTGGCTTCCTTCGTCAAGGCTTCTGGATATGTCATCGATGAATTCGATCAACTGACTTTCGCATGCTCGAAATTTGCGAAAGCCATGTTGGAAAGGATACAAGATGTTGTTTGTATCAGCATGCATCATGATGTTAGAAACGACGATGTGCTCCATTACTTTAGTCTTTACTGCAAATGCATGTCAGTGAAATTGGTCTATAATTTTCTGGATTAAATTTCAGTTTTTTTTTTTTTATAAATGGGGGATATATTTGCCAATTTCCAATCAATGGGGACTAGACCTGTAGCCAAGGACTTGCTAAAAACTAGTGATAGAATGGGGGCTACTTCGTCAGCAAGTTCTTTCAGTACCTTTGGTTTTATGTCATCATGTCCTGCAGCCTTATGCATATTTAAACCTTTGAGAAGTTTTAGTAAACCATTTTCATGGATCTCAATAATAGGCATGATTGGAAATTGATGGTCAAGAGGCATGTTACACCTGAGAGTAAGCTGGCAATCATTGAGGGTTTCAGGTAGAGTAAAAACAGATTGAAACTGTGCGTTGAGCACTTGTGCTTTGCCAAAAGGATTTTTGTACATGTACTAATTTAAATTTGCCTTCTTGCTTTAGTGGGGAAATGCCACAGTGATCGGATCGTTTGGCTTAAATTTAAGACCAGAATCATTTCGTACCAGAGTATTTGTTTTTAGTATTTGGACTATTGGGATTTATTTTATCTTCAATATGATCCCAGTAAGACATGCAGAGTTTCTTTTGGAATAGATGTTTTATGTCTTTAAATTCCTATATGAAAAGGTTCCGGGTTGTTTCGCCCTAAATCCCGTTCGTCCTAGGTTGTTTCGCCCTAAAACAAAAATATTAGGGTGAAATTGTATTGTATGGTATTTTCCTTCATTTTCAGTAGTTTTTAGTCACAAATTAAGTCTTCATAGTCTTCCATATCTTAAAATCAATTTCATAGAAAATATGTGTTTGCCTTATTTTTAAGCGAGTGTGACAAACGGCAGCTGTGAAAAGCTGACTCCGTTCTCACATAATCTACATGAAATATACCTCACACCAATGGAGAAAGTCACCAATAAGTTTAGTTGATACATTTGAATATTAATTATAATAATTTTATAAGCATATAAATTTAAAAAAAATATTTAGGGCGAACAGGATTTAGGGCGAAACAACCCTTAGCGCGAACGGGATTTAGGGCGAAACAACCTGTTTCCTATGAAAACGTGCAATTCTCCGAGACAGTTTGGTATCGGAGAGTTTTGAGCACAGGTGCTCGGGTTCTGCGATATCTAGTGGGTGTAATCCCATATTCAAGAACCTGAGCATTGGTGTTAGAGCCAGAGGAAACTTGGGCTAACACGCCAGATGAGATAGATCCAAAAATAACATTTTACGTTAACATTACATTGAAAGCCAGCTGTCTATGTGTACTTGTCTTTACGTTCAATCAGCTTCCTAAATAATGGTATGGTCATCGAAACGTTCAACCCCTTGATAAAACTTATTTAAAGACACAAATTAAATAGCAAATTTAAAGATAAAGGGCATGTCTCAGATAAACATAGTTAGTGGATTTATTCTGCACAACACACATACATTAAAACAGATATATAAATATTTATAAGCTACATTTCTTTTTTTTTTTAGAAGAATGAAATGTTTTTCAAGAAGTGTTTTCCCCAGTTTTGGGACTTGTAAAAACAGTCCAATTTTTGTGCTGATTTTTTTTTTATATTGATACATGCAATATTACAGGGGTTTTTCATTATACACAAATATCACCCATGACCACTTTTGGCCTTTAGCCGAGCGTTCGCCCCTGTGAGGAAGGTTTTAATGGGTTCTGTCACCTGGTCGAGACATACCAGAGTCTGTAAAAATGATAGTTTCTACTCCTGCTTAGCGCTCAGCAATTTAGGAGTTGGACAACTGGTTCGCCTGTTGTCATTATAATGTGACTGGGTGGGGTGTCCTGCTGGGTGTCTTCGGCAGTATGTTTCAGTGAGGTAGCACTATAAAGTCGGCATCAGTTCCGTGCGGCACTATCACAAGACAGACATGAACTTATTGGAGCCTCCCATAACACACGCATACACTGCACACATGCATCTTGCACACAGAGGAGGCCACCCTTAAATGACCATAGCTGTTGATGGGACGTTAAACAATACTAAACCAAACCAAACCCATGACCACCGTACACCACTGTACTCTAGATCTGCTACTTATGAATTTGAGAAACCACAGGTAGTAAAATGCACAGAAAACATCATTTACTGGTATCAAAAAACGAAATATCCTTCATGACGGGCAATTCAGATTTTGATTGTCATAGCTACGTAAACTTGATAATTTTATTTATGAATCAATACACAACTGAACAGAGCACAACATTAAATGTTGCAATACAGGTTGAGATAAAACAGTTCCCACTAAAAGGTCCATTCAGGTAGGAGCTGCTCCTGATGAAAACCTTTGAATTTGACGAACATACATATGCATGTCTGCTCTGCATCCCGGACTGTGTTAAAAGTCGGTAAATTGTACAAATGTAAAATGTAAATTATAATTATGTTTTATCAGCTTAAAATGCTAAAAAGGATGTAATGAATATATATATGATGAGTCTGTATTCATTTCAAAGTAAATATATGTGTCTAAAAAGGATGTAATGAATATATATATGATGAGTCTGTATTCATTTCAAAGTAAATATATGTGTATGTATACTATATAAGGCAGTGTTTGTTTCACATGTATACTGTACATGTACATTTTACTGAACATAATCCTTTCCATAAGTTTAGATAGCTTTCCATTATTCTGCTATACTTGTAAGTCATTATTTGCTTTAAACCGCACAATGAATTCTATGGATGAGTAGGGAATGGAGATCAATGCCAGAGTGGAATCTTTTGTAAAAAGTGGAGAATATATTTTTTCCATTTCAGAAAATGAAACACTTGTGTAAATCTGCACTGTTGTTGCTGCTGGCTGTGGGGATTTGTCGTGGTTTCTATGTCCCTGGTGTGGCTCCGGTGGAATTTGCCTACTCTGAATTGGTGGAGGTCAAGGTAGTATATCCTTGGCACAATCAAACCATTGATGAAATAGAAATTTCATTCATGTTTAACATCTTTTTTTTATTGCCTAACTTAATCAATTTTGCATATCCATGTTGTTTGAAAATAAAGTTTTCCATGGTAAGTATTTCAATATGGATGTCTACCTGTATGTCTGTCTGGACTGTTGTCATAATTATGACATCATAACCAAACCAAATGTCATCATTAAAAAGTCATAGTACACTGCAGTTGTTACATTAAACTAAACAATTGATGTAGAAAAGTTCACTGCATGAAATGGAATTTAAATGATCTATTTAATAAATAAATTTATTAAATGTAGGGTATTGTTCAATGCTTGAACATTGAGACACAAGTAAAAAAATCTAAATGTATTGTTAATCAAATCATTTATTAAACATTGTATGTAGTATTTTTTACTTCTGTCTTGATTTTTACGGAATTTATTTTTTCAAAATTTACAGAGATATCAAAGTTCTTGATAAAGCATCAGTTCTGAATTTAATAAAAAAAAATCAAAAAAATCACAATATAATCATATTACAATATATAGAATATGTAATAAGGAATTTTGAAACCGTCAAAATTTGAATTGGTTTGTTTTACTCTGTTAAAGGCCGTCAAGATGACCAGTGTGAAGACACAGCTGCCATATGAATACTACTCCCTGCCCTTCTGCAAGCCAAAAGAGGGTGTTGAGTACAAGATAGAAAATCTAGGTGATTATACCAGAGTGTATACCTTGTAAATCTTGCTGTTCAATAGTTTCTGAAACATATTTGGGCCACTGTCTGTGTCTATAATCCTTGTGAGAAGGCACTGTGTTGTTTAGCTAAATAATGCTACCATAACCTCCTTTGACCATTTGCCTTTCAATCTAGCTAAGGCGCAGAATTATAGGTTTCAAGAGAATATGTTTGCCACTCACTGTTTCATGTATAGACTTCAGACTTAGTAGGTAGGTTATGAAAATGGTGTTTTGTATTTCAAAATATATTTCTTTATCATGGGATCACTACTATTTCTGGCTTTTGTTTTTAGGCGAGGTACTGAGAGGGGACAGGATTGTCAACACTCCATATGTGGTAAGGCTGGCATCATGATAAGTTCACTACTGTATTCTTTTTATGGGCAAGTGAAATGTTCCATCAATAAAAGTGCAGCTGCAGTGTTATAACTGTTCATAATTAATGCCTTACCAAAATGATTCTCATATGATTTGTATATTCATTATTCTCTATAGAATCCTTTACATTTTTAAAATCATGTTGAATAGAGTTTATTTTATATAAATGATATTATGAAGTATTGCTGATAGAAACATTTTTTGAAAATTTCTATAATACAATACTAGATTTTACAAAGCTTGCAGTATATGTTGTGTGTATTTTAAAGTCATTCTGTGATATGATATTTGATTGGTTACTAGGTTCAAATGGCAAACAATAAGGATTGTACTCAGCTATGCTCTGTCAAGTTGAAGCGTGAAGAATCAAAGAAACTTGTGGAGAGGATCAGACATGCCTACTATGTCCACTTGTGAGTTTAAAAGATTTGATACATTGCAAGTGTTCTTATTCATGATATTTCGCAAGATTTCTAATTTTATGTAAAATTGTGAGCAACAATTTCTAATGAATGTATTTTCTTTCTTTTTTTTGTAAGATATGTTAGACTCTGCATATGGAAAGCAATTTGTGAAATTAAAACAAATATGAATAAATATAGAATACATTTGTTAGAATGTGGGTTTCAAACCTAAAACCTATACATTTATTTCTGAGTTGTCTCCCATTTTATTGATCAATGACAAAAATCGCAATTGAAAGTATGCATTTAAATCAATAGTCTAGAAAAGGGTGTCTAAATCATACGAATATGGAATAACAGTTATTGTTGTAGTCTGTCTAATTGAAGTTTTAAGAATTGACTTTGATTATAAACTTTGCAGGAGCTTTCAAAAAAACTTAAGATATTCTATGTTGAAGGGTTTGTCTTGCTATTATGTGTATGTTCAGTTGCAATGCCTGCTACATTATCTGACCCATTTGGTGAATTTTAGGATTGTAGACAACCTGCCATGTGCTACCAAATTTGAGATGCTGGAGACTGGGGAGCCCCAATATGAACATGGTTATAAGCTGGGATTCCTCAAAGAAAATGTGGTATGTTCCTAGTCCGTATGCCACTGCGGCTTTTACAAGTACATATTTGCTCTAGATAGGTTCAGTTGTAGAATCCAAGCCTGATAGGAAATATAACTTAAAAACTGAGCCACTTTTGTGCTTTCAACAGAGAAATTATGTTTTATCCTATTAAATCAGGACTAAAGATAAATCACATTGAAAGCTTTGTAAACTTTATACAAATCCTTTGTAGGAAGTTGATAATATATTGTTAAATTCTTTGTTAAAACAAAGGTAAAATAATTACAAACATCAGATGACTACTGCTTGACAGTGCTTGAAAACTTAAAGTCAACTCAAACATTTGTGATTTTGATCCTTTTGTTTTCCAGGCCTACCTCAATAATCACTTGAAGCTTATTTTGAAATATCACAAAGAAGAAGGGTAAGCTTTTAAATAGTACTTTTTTGTTATACATGTTGAATAGTTGAATACAAAATTAAGAATTGATTGCCCTCAAACCTTGTAGAAAAATTGGAAGGTGTTATTTCCTATGTTTAGTATACACTAGCTTTTTAGGTCACCTGAGACAAAGTCTCAAGTGACCTATTGCGATCGCCTTTTGTCCGTCGTCGTGCGTCCGTAAACAATTTACATTTTCAACTTCTTCTCCATAAACCCTGAACCAATTTCAATGAAATTTTGCAGAAACCTTCCATCGCCAAAGTTCAACTAAAATTGTGAATTATATGGTCCCCAGCCCCCAGGGGCCTGAGGGGTGGGGCCAAAAAGGGTAAAATTGACTAAAATTTCAAAAATCTTCTTCTCAAGATCCAGATATAGTAGAATCAAAAATCTTTATAGATAGAAGGGTCTTAAGGTGCTTTACTAAAATTGTGAATTTCTTGACCCTGGGGTCTCACGTTTCCCCCTGGGGAGGGGGTAAACTTTACTATAGTTTATATAGGGAAATCACATTTTGGACCAACATTTGTTTAATTTCCATTGGAAGTAATTCAATTTGGGTTAGCATTATCAGTATTAGGTAGCAGTTTGATAGTA